ATGTATATGCAAATAAGATGCAGGGCTCCACCTCATGATGTCAGCTCCAGTTTTTAAACAGAAACTGAACAAGAAATACTAAATGTAAAAGTCTATAAATATACTTTTACGCATTGTAAACGAGATGGAAAATACTAACCACTTCAACCACTGTGAAAGCTATAAATCAGCTAGTGGACACTGCTCTGCTTGTTACTGCTGCTTAACAAGTATTTTCTTGCGACTTGCATGCTGTTGAATCTCAGAAACATGTTGCTTGGAACTATTAGCAATACAAAAACAAAAAATAACCATTGTATATGCCTGAAATAAATTTAATCCACACAGGCAATGCAAGATTAACATGAATAATAATAATAGCGTTGGGGTAGTAAATATAATGAACAAGATACTGTCCAAATAAAAAGAAAGGTACAGTGCTTGTTTCAACATGTTCAGAGTCTTATGCATATAGATGAAAGACATTCTAGCCTCTGTAGTAATCATGTCATTATGTTGTAACAGGAGAAGAAGGAAATTGGACTCACAGAACTGGTTTCAGAAAACAGATTGACTTGAACAAAAAGTATATTTTTTTGCCACTCTTTGGTTAGATTATGCTCTTATTTAATTTGGGATATTTTCAGCCACAAGGACATATGGGCTAGGCTTCAACATATGTCTTTGTAAAGCGAACAGTAAACGGTAGCCAAGTAAAACTGGGGTATCTTAGTCATGCTTGCACCTATTAACCAAAGGCCTGATCCTTGAAACGTATGCATTTTAACCTTGTTTCCTGTGTTCAGAGGACCCAGTAGGTATTTAGTGTTATTATTATGTAAAATAATACAACTTAATTTTATTTAATATAATGGCATTATTTAATCTAATTCTAGGTACATGAGGATGGACATTTCCATTGTAGTAGCTGCTTTGCTGCATAATTACCTGTATGAATGCTCCTCCCTCATGGAACATGAAAGCTAATTCTTGATAACTTTCAACAGCTTTCCCCCATAATAAGAGCTGTTCAAAAAGGATGTTCTCTTATTAGAAAATTTCAGTATTCCAACATTTTTGGAATGTAAATACAGTGTGGATGAATTATAAACTACCATCATCTCACAAAATGGGGCTCTCCATAGTCTGCTCATTAAATTATACTGTTTCCTTTTTATTTCATGCATTTTATGAACACTATGAGAACTGGAAACACCATAAATGGAGACATCTGCTCTGTATCTGGTATCTCTTCAGCCATCTTGTTAAGATGATGTTTTCTGGAGACAAATAGAAAGTGTTTTTGCATACTTTACTTTTTGTGGTTTGCATGTTTATCTTAGATCTTAACTGATAGCCAGCATTTGCTCTTCTTTATTAATTTTTAAAGTGCTTTTGCCTGCCCTTCACTTTTGGTGCACCTAAAACTGGGAGGACAAATATCTGCATTCTCTCAGCTGTCACTTTCTCTGCAGATTCTGGAGCATTTAAATTGTCTTTCATCCTCAGAGTTGTTCAGGTGATTCTCATAACTCTTTGTACGATCATGGAGAAGTGTTTCTGGCATGAAAATAACAGAACAGTGTTCCTACTACAGGCCAACACTTTCCATCTCTTGCAGGCAGACTTTTTTGTGTACATTCAAGAAAATACTGGAAGGCTGGTGGCAGTTCATTTTTCTTTCTAGCCTTATGTTACCTTGAACATACTTATGCATATAAGTCAAATGCTGCACACTTATACCTTGTGGGTACTTGCTCTTACATACTTTCAGTAGCAACTAGTGGACAGTCGCTGCAAGTCAAGTTGCTCTTTTGATTTGTATAGATTAAAGATCTGCCAGATCAAGCTATTGTTCTGTTAAGTTTAAAGAGATTTATGATCTCCTGGAATACTTTCTTTTTCCTTTTGATTTTTTTCCTCCATTCCCTTAGGGAGAAAGTTTTAGAAGATCTGTCTGTCCCTCGTTCAAACCTCAGTTCAGTCTGATTCTGGGGATCGTACCATGCTCTTTCAGAACAATATTTTGTAAATAGGAACTTTCCCTTAAGTAATTCATATCTGACTGCTATCTGATTTTTCTCCCCTGGAATCTTTAGTGCTTCAAAAAACTTCTCTGTTTCTTGCTTATTTCATTTACATCCTTAGCTCTCTGCGTGTAATGACCTGAACTTCAAGGCCCTAAATACCATTTTTTTTGTTCAATAGTATTTTCCTGTACAAAACCAGGATATAGAAACAATACTGTTGTTGCATCAGTTCCCTAGAAGCACTGTTCTTAAAATTTGAAAAGTTTTTTTTTCTCTGAATGAGGTATTCTTTAATAATGATGTTGGAGAATGTCTTCTCTTTCCTCTTTTGTTGGTATGTCCATTTCCAGTTTCTTGTTCTTGCTTAAGAAACATTTTATAGGAAGTAAATACATTAAAAAAGTAGGGTTGCTGGTGCTACATGATCCCACTTGCGCTTCTGATTTCCAAAAGGCATAAGGCCTGAAAATGAGCAGAATTAATCTCTTACAGGCATTATTTTCAGTCTTTTCTGGTTTACAACTGAATGCTGATGCATATCAAGTAATGCTGCATCAGAGAAACAGTCTTTCAGAACTCTGAAGATTGCAATTCCCCAGTGATAGCTTTTTATTT